ATCCTCAAGCTTCGTCTTGCGTATGAATTTAAGGTTTAACATATGCATAAGTATCATAGATGTTCTCGGAGCACTTGACATTCCCCACAGATGTTGATTGGACCAGGAAGGAATCGAATCTGTGTCCTTAGAATGGCAGTGCACAAATCCTACTAAGAACTACGTAAATTATATTTTGCAAGTAGTTCGTAGACAAGCGACAACGGAGGAATTTATTATTAATTAAATAAAGATTTAAGAAAATATTTGTAGTAGGTGAACTTTCTTGTTCAATGTGGTTTTCCAAAGTAGACAGTGGAATCCGCGCTGCTTGGAGCTAATGAAAATGCCAAGTGCAGCCAGTCCCTTCTCTACCTAATGTTTTCAAATAAGAGGAGGTCTTGCTCCTAGCCTGCCTTTACCAACTTTTACTGAATATAAAACCTTCAAACCGGGGGTTCTTTCATCCATCCGAATTATCTCTCCCATACGGCAGTAGTTTGCTTTTAGAGGATTCAAAAAAATATGCTTTCCCTGGTCTTGAGAAATTCGAAAAATAGACACAATCGGGTCTTCGACTACGCCATGACTCATTGTAGCGATATTTGAGGTGGACCGAGCAAAACGATGATGAAACGGCCTTACAATGTCTGCAACCAGTTTCGTGGAATTTCCTTAAAACTCCTCCAAATGCTTAAGTAGTTGGACAATTTAGTGCGATATAATCTCCTCTTAAAGCACGAAGCGTGGTCACATTTGATTTACCATTTTGCGTTGTGCCTGACCTTTCTCTGAAACACAACTTGATATGGATAACCCTTCAGAATAACATCAATTTTTTTAATGCCGTAATCTTTTTATCCTTATCTATACCTCCAAATATTATTTAATTCATTTAAGAATAATATGTAAACATTTTTCTTTTTTTTTTTTTTTGTTATGACAAACCCCTCTAACTACTTTACTTATTCCTTCTCCATTCTCAGCTCTTTTACTCCTGTTCAAAGGGATTCATTGTTCGCATCATACTTTTAGTCTCGAAGTGTACACATATTAGCATTATGTACATTTTATACCTTTATACTCGTATACACATACTCGTTCAAACATATGTATGTAAAAACAAATCGAAATGTTTTCCAAATTCACATTTTGCCTAATTTTGCTTCATTTTACTTCATGTTTTTTCAATTTGCTTTAGAATTTTGCAATATCATTGTTTACTCCGCCTTTGAAATATCCAATCCAAACCGTTCTGCTGCAACTTTGATGAGGCATTTCAACTGTGAATCATTGTATGTGATCATAAACTGTGCATGTATGTGTATATATGTTTAATTATTGGTTTTTATTGCTATTATAGCATTCACCTTTTGTAGTATTGCAGCATTAAGTAATTACCCTTTTGTATGTGAACAGATTTTCATTTGTGCAACATCGATGAAATCAAATAAGTTTTGACGTGCATTGACAGGAGTTTCAATAAAGAAAATTGATCTACATGAGCATTGAAACAAAATTGTGAACAGATAAGAAATAAGGTACAACAAATGAACTGGCTCTTGAGGTCTAAATTAAATTACTAAATATGTATTATTTTCAATGCAAATCAGTTTGACATTAAGTTTTCAATTTATTATTGACTCTTCGCAGAAATTTCTAAAAATTTTAAATAAAAACAATTAAATAAAATAATACAAAATAAATCAAACAAAAGAAATTAAAGTGAAGTAAGTAAAAAGAAAAAACATAAAACAATAAAATGTAAAAAAAAATATCAAATGAAAAATAAAATAAAACAAATAAAATAAATCAAATACATTTAAATAAAAGTGAAAAAATAAAAAACGGAATAACGAGACCCAAAATAAACGAAAATGGAACATATAAATAAGATGAAATCAGAAAAAAAAATAAAATACAGAAGAAAATATGGTAAAATAACAAAATGAAATTAAATAAAACAACCTAAACCAAAATAAAAAAAATTAATTACTTAAAATGAAACACAATAAATATAGCAAAAATAAAACAAAACAAAGAAAATTAAAATCAAATAAAATAAAATATGATAAAAAATATACACGTATATTGGAAAAATTAAATATAAAAAGCAAAATTAAATTAAATTAAAAATAAATCAAATAAAATAATGTAAAATAAATTTGCGCAAAATAAAGTTGAATAAATAAATTAAGACAGAACAAAATAAAACAAGAAAATAAAACATAATGAAATAAAATCAAATAACATTAAAGGAAATAAAAAAATTAAATTAAATAAAATGAAAGAAAATACTATAAAATAAAACAAACCAAAAAGTTAAAATGGAATAAAATAAAAGAAAATGAAATGATTAAAATAAAGTTAAATAAATTAAATTGCACGAAACAAACTAAATAAGATACAGCAAAACAAAAAAATTAAAACTAAAAAAAAAAGAAAATAAAATGACGTTACATAAGGTAAACTGAATAAAATAACAAAAAGATTAATTAAGCAAAAAACAATGAATAAAATAAAATAAAACAAAACTACATATAACAAAATAAATTAAAAAATGTAAAAAATATATAATAACAAAATTATATAAGGTAAATTAAAATAAAAAAATAAATCAAAACGAAAAAATGAAATTAAACATAAAAAAATATATATATAAAATATATATATATATCTATATAATTTGTATTTTTTGTGATGATCTTAATTCTATGTCAAAACTACACTCACCGGGACTCAATTTTTTTGTTTAAATAAAATATAATTTACTAAAATAAATAAATGTAGTAAAATAAAACTAAATCAAATCAAATTGAATTAAATGTATTTAAGCGATTAGCGATAAAATATTAAAGAAACATGAATGATTTATACATCCAATAGACATTAGCCTTATACTTAACGGTAACAAATCCATACAAAAAAATTTGAAAAAGAACACTCATCACTCGATTAAAATGTATATAACGTACGTAGGTGCACGCCATAAGGTAGCCAAGCAATTGCGATACACACATAAAATGCAGAGTATATATGCACTTGCCACACTACGCGTAGGTTGCAATTGCAAACCACGAAAAGACAAGTCAGTAAGGGAAAGACGAATATAATCAAAATGAGTTCACTGAAAGGGAATACAGAGAAGTAAAGGAAATGAAAGTAGAGCAAAACGAAAATGCAGCTAAGATGGAAATAAAAAAAAAACGAGTCCAGATTCTATAAAAGAAAACAAATAAAAATATAAAAGAATATAAATAGAATTATATATAACTATATGATTATCGCTTCATAACCGATTTGCGACTGAGCTCCTACTTTCGGGCCAGCATTCAAACCACATGACCTGCCGCATGGTAGCACTCGGATACTGTGATATATAAAGTAAGATAAGATAATTTATAAAATTATAAAATAATACAAAAATAAAATTAAATTAAATAAAGTAAAATAAAAATATAAATATATAATATAGAATGCAATTAAATAAATAGAAATTTAACAAAATATAAAGAAAGTAATTTAAAGAAAAAAAAAGAAAAAAAATAATTTAACTCATCAAATAAAAATTACAATAAATTAAAGCATAAAAGAGAAAAAAAGAAAAATTAAAAAAAAATCAAAAAATAAATAAAGGCTTTAATAAATAAATTTACAATATATAAAGAAATGCAATTTGTTGAAAAAATTTAATTAAACAGAAAATATAATTAAATAATGAAAACAAAAAATAAATAAATAAAAAAAGAAAATAAAAATCAATTACAACAAAATACATTAAAATAATGAAATAAATTGGAACAGAATAGAACGGGAAAGCTAGATTTTAATAAATATACAGAAAAAACTTCCATGCAGTACAAAACAACTTTAAAGAAATATTCTTCAAATGCAAATAAGTCATAGGAAACATCAAAAGCTACATGTTTGTTTGCACTTTTGTTCCCACTCACGACAAACTCACACTATAACTCAACGGCCATACTTTGTCATGGTTCACTCACGTGGCAATGGAGAAGAGTACAGAAAAATGCATGAGCACACACTCACTTACTACATGCATATGTACGTAAATAATTCACACGCTTCCGTAGATATTTTGAAGAGCTTCCTTCATGCTAACAGGTGAATATGTCGGCGAAAACAAACCGACGTCGCGTCGCTGCCGAAGCGCCAACAACAAAGACAGATATTAAAACATCATGTGAGGTTAGCTGAAATAATGATTATTATGAGGGGGAGAACGTCGTACCGCACCGAGAGCCGAAGAGCCAATGTAAACGATGGTGGCAACGTCAGAGACATTGATTTTGATACGCAGCCAAAAATAAGTAAGTTGTTGTGCTATAAGAAAATAATGTGGTCATACGTAAAAGCTCAGACTGGTATAAAATAGAGCATGCAGCAGTAATCGACCAATAACTACACTCCGAAAGAGTGTCCTTTTTATCGCCTGGATGGATAAAATAAGGATAAAATAAGCAAAATGAACACATGAGAAACAGAGAGAAAGCGAGAGATTTGGCTAGAGAGTACAGAATGATATGAGTGAATAGAATTAAGTTGGTAGAACGTAAACATAAAAAATTCCTACGGAAACAGCAAAGAGCATAATTGTAGGCGTACGTCCTATCTTATCCGAAAAATGAACGAGAGAGCGTGATTGTGTAAGAGCGTAACATTACTCAGCTGCTGAACAAGCATTCATTCCTAACTGAGTACAAGGTCGAGAGTACGCAAAAACACGACAAGATACTTCGTACGGCAGGGATTCAGCATAGCTGTACACAACGGTCAATGAATTTGCGAAAGCGTCAGTCAAGCAATGATGAGTGACTTCGTGACTCGTTGAGCACGCCACTATGCGAGCGAACAAGTCTGTGAGCGTAGTCGCAGCTGTTTATTTTATTACAATGCGCTTTTTTCATTTTTTGCTAACTGCCGAGCTTACAATCATATTGGTTTTGTGGCATTTAAAAGCATGTCCTAGACGCATTTCCAGCTCAGTATAGTGCTGAGTTTACACCCGTAAGGACGGTGGAAAATACTTATGAAAACTAATAGCCAAAAACAAAAAGAAAAAAACATTACCCGGGTATATTGAAAATAAGTGTTCAAAGAACGCACAAAATCACCGAAAAAACGGTTGAAAGAGAACGAAATAATAACAACAGTGCAAAAAGTGAAAGAAAGGCGAAATTCTGAAATTATTTTCCACACAATCGTGCCAAAATTCAATCATTTAATAACAGCAAACAGTGTTTGAAACGATCAATAGCCTAAAAGTATGCTCGCAAATACACTTTCAGTGCCAACGCCAGAATAGTGACGTTTAACATAAGTAAAATCTTACAGTATAATATTTACGCAATAGCAGTGAACTGAATATGAAGTCGAACACCAGTCGCTAGGGAGAACCGGTGGAATTTAACGTTGTATAGCTGTCACATTGACCGTCACAACATCGAGTGTTGCATATTTTTGAGATGTAGTGTAAGCGTAACAGAGGCTTGTATACTATTAAGTGCCAAATTGTGAACAGTGCCACAGATAATCTTTGTGAGATGAAAAATAAATGAAAAAAGCCCTAAACAAAGTCTTTAATATCACTTCACTGTTGCCAAATATATAAAAGTATATAAGAGTATTTAAAATAAAATATTTATAGTGAAGCGTGCTTACAAAGATAACAGTAAAAGCAAACAGTTGTATGTAGTATAACCGCCTAAAGCTATGCTAAAAAAATAAAACCATGTCTTAAATTTCTGTTTAAGTGCGTACACTGCATTGCCAGTTAACATTGGATATACACAGTTACATATATATGACTCAAAGTGAGACAAGCGTTATTTGCTTCAAAGGGATTTATTATTGCATATTTTGTCAGTAATTTATGTCGCTTAACGGGTAAGCTAATATTCTTATATATACATAAAGTGATACCCTTGGAATTCTATGATTAAAAACACTAGCTAGATGCAAAAAATCTATGGTGATGTTTACGAAATATAAAAGAAATATATAAAATTGACTTAAAAAATACTCGATCCCAACTTCACTATTTACATTGATGCAAATCCATATATCTTACAAAATTTATGATTTATAGTTTGAACTTAAGCTGACTATAATAATAATTGTCGCTTTTTAACCGCCGAAGCTATTTTTCGACCGCGCTCCTCCTCCAATTTGTGGTTTTGCGCCTTGGTGTTTTTCCAACAAATAGAGGAACCTACAATTTATACTAAGCCCCCTCCGAATGGCTGATGGGCTTTATTTCATGTCAGAAATACATATTTCATACAAATACGAAGGGGTTGACATTCCCTGCCGAGGGGCGAGCGCAATTGAAAATTTAATTTAATTTTTTATTTAAATTAATTTTCCATATACTGGCTACAGCCATTCTAATTTTATTCTCACTTTTTTATATAACTGACGGTTTTTTAACTGCTGGAGAATTTTCGGCACTTTCTTTACTTTCTGCTTACGTCCCACTGTTTTTTTAGAGGCAGAGCTAGTAGCCAGGTCTTAAACTATTCCAAGAAATGGAGAGATCTACGTCTCCGAACGGCATTTTGATTTCGTCTTAGGAATACACTCGAAGGGAATGTTTTTCTTAGATATTCAGTATATTTTTGAAGACGCTTATACCGAGTGTGGGTAATTAGCGTTCGTTATTGTCATATTTTAAAATTTATTTATTTATACGAAAATTGGTTTACTTACTTTATTTACAATACTAAAGATACAAATAGTATCCGAAACTATTTATGTTGAAAAAATAATCTGTATGTATAAAAGGTTTTGTCCCAAATGACTGCCGCATCAACCCACAGCATAAACTGCGGATCAAAAAAATGTAAGGCATGGACCACAAGTAACCCTCTGCCTTAACGTCCACCATGGGAAGCACTTTTATTCCGAGAAGTGGTCTTGAGTCTGTCGATCTATTCGAAAAATGATATTTATGATTTGATTTACATGAAATTCGGTACGGCACAGGGGTATCAAGGTTATTATGTATAGGCGTTTTCTTCCTGGAAATGAACTCAGAACCGCAATATTCATCAAAAACGTATTTGTGGTTTGAAATGCTAGATATCTAGAATGTGTATAGTTTTTCTTTCAAAGAAAATTTGAAAACAAATATGGTGTTCGAATATAATAGAAAGCTCCTTGTCTAAACTATTTTGTGGAAAGCTCTTGTTCCTCTTTCATACGTTCTTAAATAAAATTATATTAGTTTAAAAAATAGCAGAGTTCTTTTATGTGGATTGGTCAAATTTTCTTCCTTGGAACTATCAAAGTTCTTCTATAAAAATAAACCAAACTTTTTAGTAGAAAGATTTTGCGGAAAAAATTCTCAAACATATCAAGATAATTAAATAATTTTTACTTATATTCAAAAAAAATAATTCGAAAAATAACTTTTGGTATTTTCAAAATAAAAAATACTACCTCTAGCATATTTAAATACCGAAGTCATCACTCAGAAAAAAGTTCAAACTTTAAATTCTATAATCTCATCCTTACTTTCTGCATACACTAGGAAGGAAATAGCACCCTACTTCGCAACTATTTTGAGTAATAATTAAATAAAATATTTTCCCGAAAGATTCTTAACCACTTAGAAAGTAATAAAGTTTCCCTTCCTGTAAGCTAGCATAGTTCTAGGCAGCCTAAAAGAAATAGCTTCAAATCAGTAAAGTGTCACCTGAAAAATGTTTCATCAGTTTGTCTACACACCCTTTGTAAATTTCCCGTTGTCGAGCAGCACGGAAAACATACGTACACACGAACAATGTTCTAAGAAAACTGTGCTTTGGGACGTGCAAACTACGCATATCGAAAGAAAAAGCAGCAGAAAATGTAAAATAAAAAACTGTACAAACATTAAAAAAATTATATAACAACCAAGACATTCGCCACAATTCTTTTTTATTTACAAGAAAACATACACGTACATGCATAATTTAAGGCAACCGCGCCGTTACAAACCGCAAACTCTTCACCGCACCAGCACAGCACAATTTTAGACAGTTAACAAGATTGGCAGTAGGACAACTATTCAACCACTACTGTCGCACAGCAACCTGTGTATGTCGTGTCGATATACTCGTATGTGCCTTAAAGACCCTACTTCTACACATGTGTAGGCGTTAGGGACGTAAGCACGTACAGTTCAAGGTTTCCCGCGCATACTAGTATGCTCTCAACTGTGAATGTCGATGGCGAAAACGTGTCGTATGTGCTTCCTTCTGAAGTTTCTTGTTTGTTGTCGGCAGAACAAACTTAGAGCCCAAGGGCTGCCTAAAAGTATATCAACAGGACACTTGGTGGAGCCTATTTTGAGTTTTAGTCTTGAGTTTTGTGTTCTGTGGCCTTTTCTGCACCAGAGTTTTCCACCAATATTTCGTAAGCCTTCTGTCATAACACAACAATAAACGTAAACGTTAACTTTGGGCTTACTTGAAGATATTTCTACAATCTTTTTTATATAAATTACATGGCATACATTAAGGGTCAAGTAAAGTTCGAGCGCCAATAAACAGCAATGAAAAACAGTTTTCACTGCAACAAATACTATTACTTTAAAGAAAATAAAAATTTAAAATAAACTAAAAAAATAAAAGAATAAAAACAAAATAATGAAATAAAGGAAACAAAAAAAAAAAAAAACCATATTTGAAATAAAGTAAATCAAATAATATAGAGAAAAGGAAGTAAATAAAAATTATATAAAAAAAGAAAAAAATAAGCAAAATTAAATAAAATAAAAAAAATAAAAAAAATTAAAAATAATACAGCAAAATAGAATAAAAATAAAAAGAACATAAACTAAAATAAGATCAAATAAAATGAAAAATTGTATATAGTAAAAATTAATAAAATATTATACAATAAAGAAATGAGCTAGGGAAATAAACTACATAGCAACAAATCAAAAATATACACAAAATAAAATTTAATTAACTTGAACTAAAGAGAAAAAATGAAAGAAACAACAACAAAAAAACAAAATTATATAAAATAAAAGGAAATACGTAAAAAAAGCTTAAAGAAAAAATAAAAATAAAAGAAAATAAAAAGGCAATTGAATGAAATAAAATACAATACAGTTAAGAAAAACGTGATAAACAAAAAATATAAAACCTTACGAAATAATTAATAAAAATAAAATATTTCCTTAAAATAAAAAAATAACTCAATTTTAAATAAATGCATATAATTAGTTAACAAAATAAAATTACAAAAAATCTTTTTAAACAAAACACAGCTAAAAAATTATATTAATCGATATAAAAGAGAAAAATTAAATATTTAGTAAAATAAATTAAAACACAAAAAAAAGCAGATAAAGTACAATTAAGTAAAGTAAAATGCGAAAAAACCAAACTTAAGTCAAAAGAAATAAAATGAATAAGAGTAAAAAATAAAAAAAAATGGAATGATCTAAAATAAAATTAAATTTAAAATATGTAAGGAAAAAAAATAAATTACATAATAACAAATTATTATGAAAAAGTTAACAACTAAAATAAAATTTAGTTTAGAAATAGTTTAAATTAAATCCAAATAGTAAAGATAAAATAAAGTTAAAACAATATAATAAAACGTGCAAATAAATTAAGTTTAAATAACTAAAACGCAATCTAATAAAAATAACATTAAAAAAAAAAATTTTTTAAGCAAACCTTATACCTTGTGAGCTCACTGTTACCCTGTAAATTTTGTTACCAGCGAAATAGGAGGTAACGAAAATATCTGCTGTTTGATTTTGTGTTGTAAGTTTGAGAGAAAATAAAAAACCAAAATTCGTAGGCATATTTTAGGCCTGGAATTCATTGAATATTTTCCATAATTAGGTTTAAATATTTATAATTTAATAAACAAATAAATAAAACTTTTTAATTTTTTTGTGCACTGTCTTTCATTTTGATGGGAATATTTTTCTTTTTACTTTATCAAATGGCAATGGTCTTAAAGAAAAGTAACAAAATTTACTTTACCGGTAACAGTGAGCATAGGCCTGTTAGTGCCATAATTCAACCGAGCAATTAATCGTTTGAAGAACTGTGTGCTCATTTCTTTGCAAGTCATGAACAAAGAGTTTTACAACCAGTTGTGCTTGGAATGCATTACTTGGTTAAATATGGTAACGAGCTCTCCACTTTTCACTGCCGTTCATTCCTAACTTTTTTCAGCGTTGACAAATCAATCGTTCAAAAGCTTTTTGGACTAAGGAGATATAGTCGATCTAAGGAGATATATGATTCATGATCCACAGACCGTTGATAAGAATCTCCTGCCGAGAACCGCAACATCCAGCACTATTAAAAAGACTTCTTTGTTAAGACGACGTTGGTCTCTGAGTCAAAATACAGACAAATTTTGTATTAGCAAATGTAAAAGTCGAGCGAAAATTAGACTTACATCGACTCTGGCAGCTTCACCGGACTGCAGTTATCCCTCAATATTTTCTTCTTATTTTCCCTTAAATCCATCTATCATCAAAAATACTTTCACGACTAAAGTTACTTTATTTTTAATAAAAAACTACAAATGTTAAATTTGTTTAACAAGTTCGCTCCCAGCTGATTCGAAATTCGGGTTTGATTCAAAAAAACAAAATTAAGTCGGATTCATTACACCATTTCGAAAATGTTTTGATTTTCAATCCCGAAAAATAAATAATTCTATGTGCCCCCTGATTATATCTTTAAAAAATGCAACCAAAATTACTAATTAAATTTGACAAAAAAAAGTCTTAAATTCATTGTGCACACCTACATAAGTATATACATCAAAGCTCATTTTGTATGCAAGACACTCGTCAAAATACACAAAAGCGATGGGAAAACTAAAAAAAAAAGGAAAAACAAATAAATAAGAATTAAGACAAC